CTTTAGCCACAACAATTAGGCAAGACAAAAAGAAAAGAAATACAAAATGTAAAAAAAGAAGCTGGATTCCAAAATTTTTTTAAATGTTGTATTATTGCTATATGAAAATGTCATGATAATAAATACAGTAAATCAGAATGACTCCATTGAGGAAATATTAGAAACAAAAAGTCAATACAGTCAAGGTGTAGGCTGCAAAATCAACAAATAAAACTCGGTTGTATTTCCACATGTAAGCAATGCACTAAAAGGAAAAGAAATTTAGAGCTGTTTCTTTTATAATTGCATCACCCAAAAATTAAATGCCTAAGAAATCAGTAAAGGAGGTGAAAGAACTGTACACCAAAAATTTTGCCACTGGTAAAATAGAAGAAACATGAGAAGAAAGAAAGTCTGTGCTCATGATTGAAAGATTTAGCAAAGTTAAAATGATTCAATGCAATTCTTATAAAAAATTTAATGTATTCTTCAAGGAAATTATTATAGAACCATAAAAAGACTATGAACTAGCCCAAACAGTCCTAAGAAGAATATAAGAGATATCATATTCCTTAACATAAATTATATAATAAAAGCTATGGTGATCAAAACAGCGTTATCAGAATAAAAATGGGCACACATAGGATGGGATGAGGGTTGGGGGGTGGGAGGGATACTGGGACCCGTGGTGGTGGGAAATGAGCACTGGTGGAGGGATGGGTATTTGATCATTGTATAATTGAAACCCAAGCACAAAGATGTGTAAGTCTGCAACTGTACCTCATGATGCCTCACTATTAAAAAAATTTTTAATAAAAAAAGCAATCATTTTAAAATGAAAAATGGACACACATTCAGAGAACAGAATTTAAAGCCCAAAGTTAAACCCTCTTAAAATTTACTACAAAGAAGCCAATGAAGAAATAAATGTGTCTTCAACAAATGCCACAGAAAAAACTAGATAGGCACATGCAAAAGAACATAATTGTATCACTCTCATACAATAAAAAGTTAACTCAAAATGAATTCAAATAAAGAACTGGATGTCAGGCTCAAACCCATAAAATACACTGGAGAAAATATATGCAAAACACTCCATGAAATTGGCCTCAGTGCTCTCTTCAGCAATTTATTTCCATGGGTAAGGAAAATAAAATGAATATTAAATGATGAAACTGAAGAAAAATCTGCACTACAAAACAAACTATTGCTGAAACAAAGATGATTTATTAAATGGTCACACATCATAGATATAATAAAATGCTAATATGCAAGATCTATAAAGAACTCACAAAACTCAACAACAAACAACCCCATGAAGATAAGGTGTGAAGTACTGAACTGACATTTCACCAAGAAGACACAGAGATGGAGGAGAGGCTCATGAATGCTCACTTTCATTAGGAGGGAAAGGCAAATCAAAAGGACACTGAAATTTCACATGACAGCTAAGGGGATGGGCCTATTGATACAAAAGCAATTAGTGTTGCTGAGGGTGAGAAGATGAAATCCTCAGATACTGTTGGTGGAAATGTAAATTGGCTCAGACCCTGTGGAAAATGATCTATAAGTTTCTCAATGTAGTTTTTTAAAAGTTGTACTATATGATCCCACAAAAGAACACAAAAACTCTAACCTCCTAAGTCATATACACATCTTTGTTGTTTGTAGCAGTACGCGTAATAGCCCAGATATGGAAGCAATTCAAGTGCCTGACCCTGATGGCTAAACAGGAAGTGGGACATACGCTACGCAAAAGGATCGTACTGTTTAGAAAAGATGCTACAATACTTGTGGTATAACTAGAGGGGGTCACACTAAGCAAGGTAGGTTAGAAAATTTAGGTAAGTTCTGACGGTCTCACTCAGGTGGGCTATGTAGGAGCAAACCAAGAGAACAAACTCCAAGGAAAGTCTTCCATGAACTGTTATTTCAGGGTTAGGGAGAGGCCTGAAGAACTTGACACTGGACTTCGATGGTGAGATATTGCCTTTTTGCTGGTAGGTGTGGTGTGGGAACACGTAAAACTGAGGTCTATATGCTGTCTTACAAAACATCTAAATAAATTTAAATAGTTTAAAAGTCAAAAAAGGTTTAATAGTACAATAACGTGAAGAGACCTAACTGAGGGAAAATGGGAGATTGCTTTGGACATTCAAATGAAGAGATGGAGAGGGAAACTTAGACCAATAGAGCAATCTATTGTACAATTTAGAAGTGTATAAAAATTACGCTTACACACACACACACACACACACACACACACACACACACACACACACCCTTTCACTGGAGCTGGAGATAGTTCAGTGGGCAGGGTGTGTGTATGACCTTGCTTTTGGTCAACCTGAGTTTGAGCCCCAGCACCACACACGGTCTCCCAAAACCCACCAGGAGTGATCCCGGAGTGCAAAGCAGGAGTAAGTGCTGAACTTCGCTGACCAATACCCAAACAATATTAAACTTTTATTAATTTTAAAAGTGCTTCTACATCTTTTCTCAAATGTTTGAAGTAGTAAGTACTTTGAAGTAGTAAGTGCCATAAACCAGGCTAGTAACCAGTATTTAATGTTATGAAATCAGAAACATCTTTTTGAGACTTCTGAAAATTTTGGAGCCTCTGTCTAAAAAAAATTTTTTTAGTGTTAGGTTTCTGATGCAAGTGGCCTCAAACTACGACTTTTGTTTTACAGTGACTATGCTCTTTTTTCAAAATATATTCAATTTTACATTTTAGGAATGAATGACTCTTCCTCCTTTATATCGGTGCTGATGTAGGTTTCCACTAAACTATTTTTCCGATATTCAAGATCAGAATTTCTGACTGATAAAAAAACATACTGTGCCATTCTCTCATAATCACATGCTATTTATCAGTATAAATAAGACTACAATTTGGAAGTGTTAACATCAGTATGATTAAATGAACCAGTAATAGCTAAGTTTGTATTATGAATATAAAAATAGCCAAGCAATCTAGAGAATAATGAGATGATTATGTGGGTGATCAAATGCATGGGAGAAAATCTGGTTATTTCTAAGATAGGGGTAGGAGAAATCATCCTACACAACATTCTTCTTACTCAATCAACGGCAATAGAAATTTCTAAAATTAAAAATAAATATTTTAAGAAATCCCAGATTTATATTTATTACATGAAATCTTATTTTATCTCTATTGAAACATCACTTGTTTTTGAGCCAGACATACAGTAAAAAAAATGTGATAATATATTTTTCATAATGGCTTACTTGCACAGAAAGCTTTATAAAGAAAAAGGAAGTATTTTCAACATGCCACCAAAGAGTAAAGGTCTGAGAGGTTCATAATAATCCAGGAAACTCATTTATTTTGAAAAAGTTGCCGACTATCGTCACCATCACGTTAATTCACCCACTGGCCCTGCTATACCAAGTCCCGACTTCATCTCGCAGGATATGAACACCAACCAGCTAAAATGCATGGAAACACTGGTCCCACAGCAGAAAACTCTGAGGGGTCCCCAGGAGGCTGGTGTGCCATGTCCCCACCCAGCTGATGCTCAGGAATGCCACCCACATCCCACCACTGCAGCCATGCCAAGGGCTCTACTCCACCAATTCATGATATTCTCTGCAGAGATGCCAAACTATGAATAATTTCAGGTATCCCAGTGTCCAGGCTCAGAAACTCTGGGGTCTTCTCAGCATTAGTTAGGGTGGACAGCCTGCCCCCAATCCCACATATTTCCAAGAGCCCCAGCAGCCTCACCCACCTCTCATAGCACCCCCCCACCATGTAGATCCTGAGGTCTGAACCATGTAACACCTAATTCCTCAATACTGAAATTCCATTGGGAGCGCACCAAATTGGATGGAAAAGTAGCCTAGAAACCAGGTCAACTCAACAAACAAAAAACCAAGAACACAGAAGGTGTGACTAGCAACAAACAGCTTAAGAAATTCTTAGACAAGAACTTGACAATCCTATGATCAGATATAATCATTTTCACATAAATAACTGATTTTTAATACTTATTGATTTTAATATTAAAGCTTTGTAATCTAATCAATTTCAATAATAAAACTGCATCAACAGTTGTGGCTTTTGTCCACAGTAAAATAAAACATTAAAAAAATGGAATAAAAAAAGGAAAAGAAAACATTGCCTTCTACAAAACCACAACTGAAATGATGTGACCCCAGTGAACACATGTGCAACATCTCAGAGTGTGTGACTCCTGGCAAGCACAGTTGATGAGCAAATAAAAAGGAGAGGGAAGAATTTTTTACAAAACCATATGTAATATTGATGGGTGGAAATCGGAGAAAAAGTAGCCAGGTTTAAGAGAGGGTAGACTTTTTTTTTCAAAATGACAAAATGGAAAAATTTGGAGAAAACAGAAAAATAATATATAGGTTTAAATATAAGTATACTGTGGTACCAATTCTATATGTTACCTCACGGATCCACTTATTACTGAAGAGAAAGTTAAAAATCACGGTGTGCTACAATATTAGAATAAATTTAAATTGAATTAAAATAATTCAATTTAAATTTATATTTTCCGAAATAACAATGATACTAAATTCAATCTCATTAGAGTTTGCCACAATAGGTGAAAAATCAGGTTTCACTTATGAAGTTATTTAAATTTTTATTGAGAATTTCAGTTACTTCCTCAACAGACCAATGTCCCTAATTTAAAAGAAAATCACACTTTAATGAAATACCTTTATAAATTGTATATCATTAAGTTTTTAGATGGTAAAATAAATTATTGCATAAATTTAATATTCAATTTTATATTTTGATATAAAGTATAAACGTTGAAGAAATATACTATTTATGCTTACTTGAGTTTATAATTATCTTATATTCAGATAGTACCTTAACATTATTCTGTAGATATTTTACTCATTTAGAATTTTATTGCTGGTAAAAGTCTAGTCTCTGGTTATTTAAAAATCTTTTTATTTTCTTACTTATCTTCCCATTGAAGGGAGTTTGCTATTATTTTTTTATGATTTATTTTACTTACCTAAATCAGGCTTTAGGTCAGTAGGCAAGCTTAACTTCCTTGACATCTTTGCTGAAAAATAAAATGCATTTTTAAAATTCTGAAGAATATCTGCTTATATTATTATAACTAATCTTCAAGATAGAAGTGAATTTTTCATTACTAAATCTGAATGCTACATAATGAAAAGAATGATTAGATGATATTATGGGTGGAAAGTAAATCTTGCTTTCGACTTAAAAAAATCTACTTACTTCACATTATCATCGTTGTTTGAAACGTTTAAAGAAAGCCTTAAAATTCTGTTAAGTAACTTTATTGGCTCATAGGAAAGAGGCTTTTCTAAGAGAAGCAAAGTCATTTCTGAGAAGGAAGGTGTTGCAGTTAAGAACAACAGAGACTTAAGATTGAGTTCGGGTAGGCCATTTAATAAAATATTTCCAGCTGCTCATTTCCAAAGCCACTGGGCTTGCATTTTTAAGCAAAGTTCTAGAGCACAGGCAAACCTACATCTACAGTCAAATTAAAGTACTTCTTTATATCAAAGTATTTTGCTTAACATTTTCTTGATGTTAAGTTATTACCTCTATATTTTAGTAGTAAAATAGTCATATTCTATCATTATAGTATTTACAAGAAAAGTTAAAGTGCAGATGCTTTTATTTCTATTTAGAACACTATGCAAACTTACTGAAATTCACTTTCCATCCTCAAAATCAGTTATTGCTTAAACTGAAGTGATTTAAAGTTAGGAGTCGTTCAACTACTACTACTTTGTTAGTGGTAATTCATGCGCAGAAAGAGTGCTTCCCATATGAAAAAATAGCATTTGAATGTTAATACACGGATGCATATATTGTGTTAAACTTTGGACTGTTAGGAGATATTTAAAGCACAGACCCTGCTAGTCCACAAGGGTGCCATGTAAACAAAGAGAAATCCAGTACAAAACTTCCACATCTAAAAAAATGACAAATTCAGCATTAGGAAAGTGGTATCAGGCAAACAGGGAAGGGAAGGGGAAATCAAGTCCTCACTTCTAAGCATCATTAATCAAATTAGCATCCTTAAAACAAACAAAAAAAAATCAACGGGTCAAATGTATGAATCAGTTTTATCCTACTGTCATTAAGATTTTTATCTCGGTTAAAAGATAAATTGTCAATGTAATATAAACCTAAAATAGGCAATACAATAAATATGGCTAGTTATGCACACAGGCCTGTCGCACTATTCTATTTCACATTAGATTCCCTTATTAATATCCAAAGAATCATCCTCTTAAATTCAGTGTTCTGTGCTCAAAAGAGCTCAGAGACTTGTACCAAATATCATAGTGTGATGTGCAAGGACTAATGAAATAGTATCAACATAATGTGCATTCTATATGAGTTAGCAAATCAGAAAATTGGTCTTGAATAGGTAGCTGAAACTTTTTAAGAATCAGATGCGGTGGATGCCTCTCTTTTTCTTTTCTTTCTTTTTTGGGGGGTGGTGATGGCAGGTGGAGTACTCAGGAGATACTCCCAGGCAAGTACCTTCCTAGCTGTATTGTCTCTCCGGCTCACGGTTGCCTCTCTTGACACTACCATGTGATGTGCAGAAATAGTTGCCTGCAGGTCCACTGGTTCTCAGATCTGTATATGGGCACCTGCTATGTGGTACCCAGTTAAATGTACATTCTGTACTCCCATCAGGTCTGAGATACTACACCTTTAAGAGGCTCCCCAGAGAAGTGAGTGCTTATGGATCACACTTTATGGAAGACTTCCTCAACAAAGGAATCCAGAATAACTCATCAAACCTCTACATATAAAATAAGCCCACAACAAAATGTCTTGAACATCTAGTTTATAAAATGTGGGATAAAATACAGTCATGAGGACTGGGTCTGAAATAAGATCAAATCTGGGTTTGAAGACATGTCATTTTAACCCAAATTCCTTCACTTGTAAAATGAGAGTAGATAGTAATGTCAATTACAGAGCTGTGAGGACCATAAAAATAAGCAAAGCATTGAGTACAATACGTAACATAAAGGACAAATGTGAAAAGTTGTAATAATAACCGAATGAAGTATTGCCTTGCATGAAGTCAAACCAAACCAAACCAAAGCACGAAAAGCCAAAATCCCAAAAGCCAAAACTTTAAGTGCGGAATGGAATGCGCTACTATAAGCCCAACCTTTGCAAAAGTTCAATTCCAAAATAAATTTTAATAAATAGCTAAGTTTAGAAGAGAAATAATCAAGAAATTTACTAGCTGTCTCAGGTTTATCCCTTACTGGGTATGGAAATAACAGTCAGAAGAACATCTTACAAAGCTTTCATTTAATAATAATAATAATAAATAATAATAATAATGTAAAATTAATACCCAAGGATAGTAGAAACAAGGGAAGGAGGATTGGTTCACAGTTGGAGCCTGTCTCAAGTGTTGGGAGAGAAGGCAGTTGGGACAGAAAGGGATCATCATTATGACAAAGCTTTCATTTAGTAACTATGTGTATGTATATATGTATATATATCATATATATACACACACATATACAGTACATGTATACGCATACACACAGTATATATAAATGCATGAAATGCATATACACATACACATTTCTCTACATTCACAAGCCTCCGCATTGCCTAAGTGGCCCTGGTAGTCCCCAGCAATACAGGGTCCAAACAGCGCCACATCCTTCGGCTGAAGCACAAAAGCGTTAATCAGCTGGTCAATTACTGCTATGTGTGGCTCAGAAGTCCAACCCCCATCAAAAGGAAAAAAAAAAAAAATATATATATATATATGTATCACAAGCAAGAAATTTCCACATTTCCTTTCCACATGTGTCATCTTTAATTTCCCCTATGATTTCTAATTTATTTTACGACTTTATGATTTCTAATTTTTTTTTACAAATTCTAAAATAGTCCTTCCCATATATATTTTTTTCCCTAACATTACTTTATGTACTGTTTTTTTGGGTCACAACTGGCTCTGCTCAGAGCTTACTCTGGCTCTGCACTCAGGGTTCTTCTTGGTGGGGCTGGAGAACATATGGGATCAAACCCCACATTGACTGCAAGCAAGTTAAATACAGTACTACAGTACTCCCTTCAGTGCTTTGGCCCCCGTCTTAATATTGACCATAGCTAAATATCAGCCATAGCTTACCAGTTTTCAAATGTTTTCACTTTCTCTAATTTCAACATTTTAGTAACATTTAACACTGAAAGGTCAAAGCTGCCTATAATAAATATTTAGGTAGTTATATGACTTCAATAACTATATAAATGTCACAAAATGATTAACAGCAAAGTCGATTATTTCTTCCTGAGATACTCTCTGATCTTCAACCCAATCAGTTCAGTGTTCAAGAATAAAGAGAGATTTATACCACAGTACTGTGACATTTGGACAATCTCCTCAAATATGAAACTGACAAGGATTAAAAGATTAACCTTTGTTAATCTGTGTTTATTACAGCTAAATTAAAGAGAGAGAGAGAGAAAGAACTGAAAGCTTTGATGAGTATAGAAAACTGCTGCATATTGTGATGGGGCTTTTTACTGGACCACTGATTTGCTCAAAGGCAAAGATCTGTTTTCAGACCTCCAGGATCTAACTTGCACCACTGAATTTTATTTAAACAGTTGTACTGAATTTAATATTATTTATATATTGTTCTTTGCAAGCATTTTCCAACTGTTACAACTATATTTTAAAAAGTTTGGACTGTAAAGAGTAACACTGTTAATAAAGTGTTTTTCAAAAGATGTAGAGAAATAAAAAATACAAATAAACATGTATTTTAGATTATATCCTTAGAAGAGAGTTTGCTCTGCCTGTAGCCAATTGAGGTTTGATGCCCAGCATCCCATATGGTACCCTGAGCACCACCAGGAGTAATTCCTGAGTGCAGAGCTGGGAGTAACCCCTGAGCATCGCTGGCTGTGACCCAGCTTCCCACACCTAACCACCCCAAGGCCCTCCCAAAATAAATAAATAAAACCAGTCAGACTAGTCCTTAAAGAGGAAAAAGGACAAATGGAAGCATAAACCTACTAGGGTACACATGCCTGGAAAAAGAGAGAGAGAGGGAGAGAGGGAGAGAGACAGAGAGAGAGAGAATTGAGGACATACTGAGAATGTAGCCATCTACAGGTAAAAGGAAGAGAATTAGAAGTCGCACAACACCATTGCTCAGGAGTTCTAGTGTCCAGAACTACTCTAGACAAAATCGATTTCTGTTGTGTAAACCGTCCGATCTATTATGTGGAGCAAAGCAACAGTGCAGCAGGTAGGGTGCTAATCTCGCACATGGCAGTAGCGGGTCTGGCCCTGGAAACCCATGAAGTCCTCTGAACCTCAGCAAGAATGACTCCTGAGAGCAAGGAGTACACCCTCGGCAGTGGTGCGTGTAGCACCCCCAGAAGAATTCAAAATAAAGGATCCTATGACGGCAGCCTTGGCAAAATACAAGAAAAATCACAGCAGAAATGGATAAATTTAGTGCTGTTCTAAAAACAGTTGTAAAAGAAATGATTTCAATAATATAATTCTAATTTGGACTAATGTTTTTATCCTAGGAAACAAACAGCAAGTCATTTTTAGAAAGATCACTGTATAGCCTTGTAATATAATAATGACATCATTCTTTAGAGATAAATAAAAGGTGTTGTGATAGAAAACACGGACTAATGAGCAGACTTTATCAGGAAATTTAATGCAAAATACATTCAGAAATAGAATTAAACATTGAATATACAATATTTCTTATTCTTCATTTGAGTTACCCTGAAAAAGAAAAGAGAATTAATTGGAGAAACTCAGGCTTTTATAATGGCTTTAAAGTACTAGACTAAAATTTAGTTCTTGTCCCATTAAGGGTAATAAAACTTCAAAGTGAAAATAAGAAAAATTACCTTAAAATGTGTTACTGCACACTTGACTCATCTTCTCTTTCAGATGAGCTTCTTTCAATAGTCATATTGTAGATTAAACATAAAGATGAGCTACTACAGATATCAGTCATATGATGGATAGAATGTTGGAGAATATAAACTGGAAGCTCA